TCACCCCCCTTCTTACTTTCTCTCTCGCCTCTCTCCCTCTCCCTCTCTCTGTTCCGCTAATAAACGGCCGGTTAAACTTTTTAACGAGCGGTCAGCCGCAGCAGACTTTCTTCAACGAGCAACGCACCCCCTTTTGGATTCTTTCACGCATTCACGAGGACTCAATGGCCGTGCACGTGCGTATACATACATACGCCTCCGTGTACAGTTATAACGCCACTCTTGACGTTCGGTATTATTTAGTTTGTGGCGTGGGTGGCCTGTAGCAATTATTTCGAAGATCGAACACAGCTCTGGTCCTTATTTCTTCCTTCTCTCTCTCTCTCGATTCAGAATGTGTCCGATGGAAAATTCTTTCTTTTCTTCCCCTTTGGTTCGCTTCGATTTATCGTGAAATTGCAAACGAAGAACGGAGAATTAGTGAGTTTCCTTCTTTTTTTATTTCGCTTCGTTGCGGTGTCATTTTTACCGGGAAAAACATCTGTCCGTACACATAGTACCACTCTCCTCTTGTTCGATGATCGTTCAACGTTGTATTTGTTAAGGCGTATAATTTTTGTTCGATGTCAGGGTATACAGTTTATTAAAGCGTATGATTTAACAGTGAACGAGGGTGAAATTGAGAAAATTGCACGGCCAAATGAGAGGAATCGGGAAGGGTTACGCATCAAAGTCTTCACCCTTTCAGCTGCCCCGATTGTTCGTTCAGATTGTATTTGTTAAATGATGTAACTTAAGGATCGTTTTAATACAAGTGAAATTACAGAAAGATTTTCAAATCGAAAACATTACGGTAGACATTACGGTTTGTTCGATTAAGCTGTGAATTAATACGATCTATGAACGTTCAGAAATCTTCCCTCCAAATCTCGTTTCATGTCTTTGGCGATTTTTCCAGAAAAATCTTCAGCTCTGATCTCAATTCAGTATCCATTACGATGCTCGGCAGGTAAATATCAAATTCTTCGAAATAATAAAATAGCAAATTCTTCAAAACAAAGAATATCAAATATACAAATTCCGAAATTTATTTAAGCAGTGAAAAGACTGATTTCGAAATCAATCGATTTTCCGTAAAAATCAGTAAAAAGGAATCTTCTTTCTTTTCACTCTCTCTTCAAATAAACCTTCAACTTCCCCTTAAAAAAGTGACTCGTCTGTACACCCAACGAAATACGATAATTCGGTGAATCGAGGCTGTGAAAGTCTCGAAACTGTCGTCGCGAGAAAGAAAATTTGAAGAAAAATAGAAGGAAGCTTCTCTTCTCCGGGCGAATCGGTAACAGACGAAGAAAATGAGGCGGCCTGCGTGCTCAGCCGATGGAGAGAAACAGGGGAGAGAAAGTGATCGCGGGTCGTTTTTTCGGGGAATCTCTCCTCGACGGAAGTTACTGTGGAATCCGACGGTGGTAATTCGAGGTGAACGGAACAGAAGTGGGCTCGAATTACCGGGGAACTATTAATGAAACAGGGATTAAAAGAAAGGAGCTGGGCCAAACGGGGGGTGAACAGATGGGTTCGTCGAGCGGCGCTCAATGAAAAGAATATCGCTGCTTTTTCGCCATTCACGCGGGGTAGTTGTCTGTGACGATGGTTTTTAAAGGTTTCTGATCGGTAGAACGTATCCTAGTGAACCTTCCCTTGTGGGAAAGTCGAAACACAAGGGGAACACTGTATAGGTTTCTTTTCCTTTCTTTCTTTCTCCTTTTCAATTATTATTTTTAGGTAAAATCGAACGATTTTATTAGTGCGAGAGAGAAGTCGGTTAGAAAAGGTATTTTTTCTTCTTTTTTTTTTTAATAATAATAATACATCTACATGTGGAATTGGTTTAATAATGGTAATTGGTAAATAGTGTGTTTGTCGAATCGTCTCGAGATTTGGAAAATGAGCGGATCATACAGGGAAACAGAGAGTAAAACAGTAGAAGCGCGTTGTTATTGATATCAGTGAGTACGTGAGAATTTATTGCGAGATATATTTAGAGAGCGTTGATCAAATTATCATTATTTCTTTTTTACCTGTGTTCATAGTTATTGTTATAAAATATATTGCTATTGAACTTATTATCAAGTGTTATACAACCACACTACAACTGGCCTCTTTTTAGGCCAACCAGCAGATTTGATGTAATCTGGTGTGTCGTGCGTGATTGTCAATTAGAAAGGTCTCACGGTTTCGTTCTTTCGAGTTTTCCGATTTCCCGTTCATTATTGATGAGAGAAGTAACTAGCTCGTTGGGTGATTGACTAGCTTCTGTTTATGGGATTCAGCGAATTGATGCGCTAGTTCGCGTACATGACACCCTATAAAACGGAATAACTTTTTTTTAAATTGGGCCAAACGACTTTAGTTTTTTTTTGAGAAGTTAGAAAAATTAGTTTACTAGACGACGTGTGCAAAAAATTTGGAAAAAATTACAGTTTGTGGGAATCGCGGAGAAAATTGTAAAGGTCACGTTTTACAACTTTTTTATTTGAGCTCGTAATGAAAATTTAAAAGATAAGTTTTGCAGATCCACGTGAATTATACACACGCTGAAAATTTCATCGAAGTCAGTAGATGGAGGAACAAGCGACAGGCGTCGAAAGATTTATCAGTTAGAGGCGTGGAATAGTGCGATTTTCACAATCTTTAACCGTTTGTAGCTCGTAACAACGTTAACCGATTTCGATGAAATTTTCAGCACGTATATAATTCACATAGATCTACAAAACGTATGTTTCAAATTTTCATCACAAGCCTAACTGAACTGCGAGCACCTTTGATTTCTCTGCTTTCAGTCGGTTGAAAATGCAACGAAACTTAGTGGGAAAAGGATTCTTCGAAATGTCCACAATGACAAATTACAAGAAAGATATCTGAAAAAAATCCGATCGTGCAAGTTTATCGAAGCAATTTCACAAGCTTTCGCGTAAAATTAAAACGTCCCCACTCGAGGTATCGCCTTTAATTGCTCGTGAAAACAACGGACCGGTTTTCCGTTCGTTTTATCGCGCGAGAAAAGAGAAACGATCGAAAGAAGAAAAAGCGAAGAAAAGGAGAAAAAGTCTTGTCGAAGGTCGTGGATAATAGTTTCCAATACTTGTTCCTAACATTCGCGGTAACGAGGTCCGTAACGACCGTCGGGGCAAGAAATAAACGAGAGAGAAAGAGTCTGATCGCAGTTTTCCCGGTTTTTCCCTTGAACCCAATCGTCCCCGTAGAAATACAAGTTTCGAGCGGCCTGGTAACGACGATCGAAGAAATCTTAAAGGGCTAAAACTGACCGCGTTCAAGTCTCCATGTTTTTCCAATAACTCTGCTGCCACTACTCTTCCGCGTGTATGCATAAGCATATTGAACCGCGAGCAAAGTATAGTATTTAGGTAGGCATACTGATTATACGGAGAGGCGAAACGAACAACTTCGCTTCGACGTTGATAAATTTTCAAAATAATATACAGTCGATTCCGGTTAATTGGGACCGCCGTTTATTTTTTGGACAGATACTGAAGAACGGAATATAAATACGTGTTCATTTACTTATTTTTCGTTACTTATTAATGTCATTTTATTACTTATCGTTAGCTTTGCTTGCATGCTTAAACACACATTCAATACCGAATATTACATACGTTTTTCAATAAATTCTTTTTGGCTTCTGTTAAGTCATTGGGATTAGCACGTTTCCAGACGTTCGTTTCGTAGCAGCAGTGATTTTATGACATCACGGCATTCGTAGTCTTTCAATCTAAGAACTTGCTTTCACCTTTATTACCTTATTTTCGACTTGGAATGTTCGCCCTTTTAATTTGTACATTTTTTGCATCCATATGGTCACCAGAGCCGAAGCGCGTCTTAACGTTATTGTCTGCTACGGTCACTGTTCGAGGCACGAGGAATTCACGCGTGCGTCACTCAAGGGTAGGTACCTTTGAGTGACCTATGGTCTGGGGGGTGGCATTTTCGTGTAGTTTTCCCACCTATGATTTTAACCAATAGTTTTTGCCAGCCACCCTTTCCCACCGCTATCGAAAAATGTCCTCAGCCTATCCGAGGGCCTCACCCCCGCGATGCGTCCTCGCTCGGAGGTGTCGTGGGACCTTTCGCGGAGAAGATAGTTAGAATTCATTTCTAACTTTCCTCTACGGAGGTAGTATCTACATTATACCGAGAATTTTGCGAAACATTCAACGAACTATGCTTCTACGGTCTCGAAATCACCTTGAACGTAAAAAAGACTACATTTTCGTTAGCTTCGATATTTTTCCCAAAATATAAAGTCACGTCTTTACCTAATTACCGAAGTAAACTGCTGTTATTGTAAAATATCAGCCAATCCCACGAGAGTTCGTCTCGAAAGTGAGGAAATATTTCAATGGGAAACCAAAGAGAAGTTGAAAAATTCAAAAATATCGCTCTATCACGGAAGAAACAGAGAAACTGAGAAGAAGATATTTACTTTTTCCTTTACTTTCGATAAAATTCAAAGGTACCTACTCGTATACGCTCGAAATATTGATCTACATTTCGCTATAAAATTCGAACTTACCGCGTGACCCAATTAGAATTGTCCGCTTCTCTTCCACCTAATCATCGATCACCGATATCAATTCATTATTCACCACTACTGTCGCACACACGTACACACAGAGGAGGCAAGTGAATCGTTACACAAATCGAAATTCGAAACGGTCCCAAGCGAATAGCCAGCGGGTGGTAAATACGCTTGTGTTTGCGCTCACAATAAAAGATGCACAAACGTTTTTTTCAAGGGTGTCAAGGATCTGCAAGAGTCAATTCGGCGTGCGTCGTAGAACAATGTAAAGTGTTTGCTCGCTGGAGAATTTCATTTGGCATTGTGCCGTGTTAATACGCGCGTTTTTCCTCTCCTTTCTTTTCGTTTCTTTCTTCCTTCCTTTTTTTTTTTTTTTTATTATTATTCTTTCCTTTTTCTCCTCTTCTTTTTTTTTCATTTCATCCCGCAAGCGAACGATACGCCCCTGTTTTTGTTCCAGGCACAAAGAGGTCGAGAATCTCTGAGAGCACTACGGGAACAATGCTTTCCACGAGCGACACCGGTAACGAAGACGACCGTGACTCCGACTCCGGCGGAGAACTTCTTGCTGACCGTCCATTGGGTAAGACTCCGTTGCCTCCTCCCTGTACGTTACACTCTCGAGCCACGGTGTTCGCCGTGTTGTCGGGACCGTTTGAAATAGAGCAATTTTCTTCGGTCCAATGACAAAGAGATAGACGAGATAGATTTTGAGGAAAATTTAAAAAAAAAAGAAAAAAACTGCTTCTTCCTGGGTATTCAACTGTAAGGGTTTTAATGGATCGAGGATTGTTCGTGTAACTGGGTTGCTCGGTACCCACACAGTAAGTTCTTTTAAAATCTTTATTGAATAGGTGGCTCGCGAGGTTCACACTTGACTGTCGACTGACTGCTTTCCAGTCAGCTCGCGAGTTATCAGGAATCCCAATCAGGAATTTCGTCTTTAACCCGCCGCTAGTCCTTTGCGCCCTTGGCGCGCTTTTTCCAGGACCGCCGCGAATTATGCTGGGGGCGTATTATCCGCTGCAGCGCATTTGGCAACGCGACGGATTTTCCTCCAGGTCCGGTACTTGAGACATGCGGCTTGGGCCTCTGGACCCGTACGCGGCAATCCTTGGTTTATGACACGGCAAATTGCTATTGAGACCGTTGATGAAAGTTTCTACGAAAACATGCATTGTTAGATTTACTAAACATTGAACAGACTAACCCTTTCGTTACTACGGGCGACTATAGTCGCTCTCCATAAGATGCCACTGACATGCCACGGGCGACTATAGTCGCTCTCCATAAGATGCCACTGACATGCTACGGGCGACTATAGTCGCTCTGCATAAGATGCCGCGTATTGTACATACGACGAGCGATTGGAGTTATTGCACATCGAGTGTCTTACTCTGGACATGTAGCATCAGTATTTTGTTTTGCAAAAAAAAAAAGCCGTGCTTTTGGCACGGCGGCTCGTTCAGCGGGAGTGTCGCCCCGGAGAAACCGCTCGTAGCGAAAGGGCTAAAACGGTTTCCTCAAAAATACCTATGCTATACCTTTGTCACAAACCGTGTTGGTCGCCCGCGCGGCAAATGCTTGCCACACAACCCTTTCGCTATTATCGCCGCGTATAGGCGTTTCGAAAATTTACTCAGGCTCGGGCAACTTCTTCCCCGCTGTCGCTTCGCGACTTCCACTACCAGTGTTCCGGTTTCCCCTCTGTCAACTATTTCATATTGCCTCGCGCGACTGCGAATATACACTACCGGCCAAACGTTTCGAATCACTATGCATTACAAGTTGCACCAAAATTCTTAAAAAAAAAGTTAGCATTTATAATAATTTCTTAACGAATTTGTTATCGTTCAAATCAATTGAAACGAGGTGAAGTGCTACTGATCTCCGCAACATCAATTTCAAATCAATAAGGAATTAATAGCGGATTCAATATTAATGTATGTAAATTGCCAGGTGATTCCAAATTTTTGGCCGATAGTGTATCTATAATCTGTCGAAATCTGTCGTTGCAAAATAGCAGCTCCAACGTCGATCGGAATGACGGAGAACGAGGCAACGAGGAAACGGTCCAGCAGCCTGAACGACTCCGAGGAAGGAAGTCCGGAACCAGGTTCGCAAAGTCCGACGCATACGCCACCGTTAACGCCGGCATTGACTCCTCAAAGGGAGGACACGCCGGCGCCAGAGAATCTCAGCCTACGTAAAACCGGAAGTCCTCAGCAAGCCCAGCAGCAAACCCTTCAACCTGTAGACTTGGTGCAGCCTAGGCCGAGCCCTCCGCTACCCTCGCTGGCAGTAAGTTTTGTATGTCAAAAGTTTCAATATCTTTTTACCTTCTAAACTTTGTTCGCATTTAACCCCTTGACTTGCCGTTCGTTTTACCGACTGCGCATTTCAAGCGTCGGTTTTAGTACTGTTTCGGTACCTACTGCTGTATTTAGTTCTTTCCAAAGGTTAGCGACGTTTAATATAAAATTAGAGCTAACATTTGCCGACGATATTACCGTTTCTGCATCTTGACCAAATAGAATCTGCGCAACGAGTCCGACTCGTTGTTACGAGACAAGGGGTTAATTACGACGAGTACGAGTGAAAGCAATCGGCGAATAAAAAAGTAGAAGAAACATTTTAGGAGAAAATTTTGAAAAGTTAAAGTGAAAAGAGACGCGTCAGACGTTCCGATCTTTGTTCTAACGT